AACAGTAAACAGCATGAATTAAAGATGTCAAAGTTTATTTATATTGGATAGGATCACAAACTTTTATGCTTTGACTAAACTTTCATAATGGCTTCTTGGAAATGACCTATCAAAACTTTATTGTTTAATGTAGCTGAAGCTTTCAGACATATTAAATAAGCTTTCTTTCAGAAAATAATTAGTTTGTGGAATTAGATTTCTGGCACATTAATGACATTTTGTATCATTATGTTGAGGTTTAAAAGTTAAGTGGATTTTGTGGAATTTTATTTATCTGCATGATTTTAATAAATTTAGATATTGAGTTAGCGTAGAGCGGTTTTGAAGACTGATATTTTTATGACAATATTTTAACCTATTAATTATTTAATATTTTCAAATAATGTAATTATTGCTCTGTTGAATAATTAATTTACTTCTTAACAGGAAAGTCAACTTCGTCGACACGATGTTTCAAATGCTGGAAAAGTATAGTAATAATTTAGAAGATCTTATTCGCGAGAGAACAGAACAATTGGACATAGAAAAAAAGAAAACTGAGCAACTCTTAAATAGGATGCTGCCGAGGTAACTCATTCATTGTGAAATGTTATTTATGTCTAGAATGTACTTAAAAATTATATTAAATTATCTTATTTTTCAAAATTCATTGTATTCTTCTTGCAAATAGTAGTCTTGCGAAAATGCTTTACAGTAGTACCAATTTTCTTATATATAACTAGAACCGTCACTATAGTAGAATTAGTGCAAAGTTTATATATATTGTGGGTATCCCAGAACTCAACGTCAAACCGAAACTGGGTGAAAATATTACTTCATTTTGTTTGAAATAGAGCTTTTAAGTGCAATCTACAGCTTTGGTGAAATTGTTATAACTTTAATGTGCTTAGCTTTTATTGCTTTTTTCATTTAAACTTTGGATCCGTAACCGTAAATAGCATTTCTGGGACCACAGTCCAAAAATAATGGCACAATTACACGATATTTTCAAGATTTTAAACTATCTCCCAAACTATGATTTTAGAATTCTTAAAACTGGTCGGCTTTGAAAGACCATCTCTTGATTACCGTAATTAAAATTTTTGGTACGGAACCCAAAAAAATTACACAAAATGTGTACACATTATTAAATCTCTATAAGTATCTGATAAATGCCAAAAGCCATTTTTTTAACTTATTTTTATTAAGAGTCCTTAACAGCTAGACCTGCCTACCCAAAAATTTAATCAGTTCTACATCTTGTCAACATAAGTAAAATGTTTTTTGAATTATTAAAATCGGACGCTCCGTTTCTTAAAAACTGAGTTACCGTTTTTGAGACTTTTTGCGCCGTATCGTCGGAACGGCTAGACCTGCCTTCGCCAAAAACTATCGGCAATTTTCCTTATCAATACGAATCGAATGTTTTTTTGAATTATTCAAATCGGTTGATCCGTGTACTCGAAATCGTCGACGAAAATTTGTATCCGCACACACACGAATACATACATTTTTTCTAAGGAATGCCAAAATGTTCAGACACCTTTGAAACGTAAGTATATATAAAAAATTTCATTTTCGATTTTTTTGCGATTACTATAACTTACCCTACGGGAAGTTAAAAATGTCTTATTTAAAAATTGCCCAGTATTTGAACCATTAGTCAAAATTTAGTAGAATAGCATATCATTTAGTCAAAAATGTTTATTCTGATAATCCTATTTGCATGCGATTAAATACAAAATCATAAATGGTTTCTGGAATATGAGCATATAATAAAAATTTAGATATACGGATCGACAGAGATTAAGTAGATATCTTGCGCAACGATAAATGATACATAAACAATTCTTGCACAGATGGTTAGCTTATTTGATTTTCTTTATTTAACCTGACGGCAGTGAGATTGTATTTCAATATTACAAGATACAAAGGTAAAAAGGTATGAAATATTAAAGAGATCACTTACTATAAAGATAGAACGCTTCGAGCAGGTCACTTAATATAACATTAGTCAAGATAAAAATTCTAAAAGTTTGCTGAAGTCTGACCTATAATCAAACTAAGGCAATCATTAAATTAAGCGATTTTGTTCTATTTCCAGTTCCGTCGCGGAGAAACTGAAACTCGGTTTAGCCGTTCAGCCTGAAGAGTTTTCCGAAGTGACGATTTATTTCAGCGACATCGTGGGTTTCACCTCAATAGCCGCCCATTGCAGTCCGGTGCAAGTTGTGGATCTACTGAACGACCTTTACACGTGCTTTGATGCCACCATTAACGCTTATAATGTGTACAAGGTAATTAATTAATTACATTTCCGTGCGGTATTGCAGTATCTAATAGCTTTTCAAATTATTGACTATTACATTACATTAAATACTGTTGATTGAATGTGATAGATGGTATATTGGCAATTTGTACATGAAATATTTAATAGTAAATATTTTGATTTCGCATTATGCTCATTACGTGTAGTGTGATGGTCTTTATTAGAATACACTAATTATAATCATTTATATAAATCGTTTCCATGTACTTCAAAGATTAAAATAAAATAATTTTGCATTGGAATTTATTGAATATTAGATATAGGATTTAGTCAAGTTTAAATTCACTGTTTATTTGAAAATTATATATATATATATATATATATATATATACTAGCTAGCTGACCCCGCAAGTATTTCTTCTTGACCTGCTTTTTGAAAAGTTTCAAGTAACATTCGATGAATTAAAGTAAATTTAATAAAAAGTATATATATGTAGAGCAGGGCGAGGCACAAAGGTCCAATTAGATTTTGAGCAAATATAAACTATATTGTGAAAACATTTCAAACGAATAATTATCTGACTACGTTTCAATAAAACTGCCAGCTACTTCATCATTGTAGATATATATATATATATAATATATATAATATTATATAGTTACTTTATGGTCTGATTTTAACGTAATTCATTAATTTTATCTCAATAATTCATTTAATATATTATGGTTCAGACTTCTACTCGTGTTTATTTTTAGTCGATTTCGGTCTATCTATGATTTTAGGTCGAAACAATAGGAGATGCATACATGGTCGTAGGAGGCTTGCCGACTCGAACTCCGGATCATGCTGAGCAAATTGCTTCGATGGCACTTGATCTTTTGCACCAGTCGGGGACTTCAAAATAAGACACTTGCCTGGGACACCTTTAAGATTACGAATAGGACTTCATAGTGGTAATGATAATAAGCTCTTACAGTAGAATTTATTTATCCATAGAAATATATTAATATATTGGGAAGTGATATTCATAACAATGTTGTCATTGATGGTTCACAAATCAAGTTTTTAAATCATCAGTGTGGACTATACTGGATATAAAGATTTGCAAAATCATTTGTAATATTATTATCAAAAATTATCTGTTAAACAAACCACATAATTTTTTGAGATGATTTTTGAGCAATTGCGCATTTTATTCCATAAAATAACTTCATACATTTTCACAGATTTATTACAAAACCTTGTTGGGTTATGATAAATGCATATATAGTACAATGTATATGAAACTTTAACATTGTGGAAAAAATATGTATATTAATTGAGTAAATCTTAGAATGTTTTTACATCTAATTTTTCAATATTTGTACTTTATTTCTCGTGATTTTTAGGTACACGTTGTTAATTATATATTTCTATATTTTAGGACCTTGTTGTGCGGGTGTAGTTGGGCTAACGATGCCGAGATATTGTTTATTTGGCGACACAGTCAATACAGCTTCTAGAATGGAATCAACTGGTAAGAAATAAATAAATAAATATATATATATATATATATATATATATAGTGCAGTGTACTTTTTTATAAATTTACCAGCATATAAATAATTCATATTTAATCTCTAAAAATTTATTATATATGTTATGAAGACGTTCTAAATTATTCAGAACAGTTTGACACTCCTAATTAAAAGAACTACGAAGTGTATGAGGATTCGCCAACGATTCCTCATAATCGGCTACACCAACTTCAAAAATTCAGATATAACTTAATGAAAAATTGAAAAAGTTGAAAAATGAATTTTTTTGTCCACGATTTAGCCAAAAATCTTGAACCGATGTGAAAAATTTAAAAACTGTTCGAACGATAGGAGTTGGGTAACTAATTAAAAAAATGTTCTTAAAAACTTGCTTAAATAATATGGGCCTACGAAAAGTGGTTTATCGGCTAAAAATTTGAAATAAATGTAATTATTATGATTGACGTTGTGTTTATATTGCATTATTATAAATCTATATCAGGGGCACCCTGGAGAATCCATTTATCGCAAGCCACTCGGGACTATTTAGAGCAAGCCGGTGGATACGTTTTAGAGGCGAGAGGTTCCACCGAAGTCAAAGGCAAAGGGGTCATGACCACGCACTGGCTCTTAGGCAAACATGGATTCGATAAACCTCTTCCTACACCTCCCACTCTCGGGTATGTCTAATTTGATTATTCTGAATGAAAGAATATTTCATACTTCATACTTCCTGTGTTGAAGTTTTCGACTACCTTAACAATTTAAGGTATGAAGACATTTTACAAAGTTGAGTTATTTTTCTATTATAATTTTGTGTGGGATAAGATTTATTTTTATGTATATCGCTGATTAACGCTAATTAATGTTAACAATTTAAGGTATAAGACACTTTACAAAGTTGAGTTATTTTTCTATTATAATTTTGGGTGGGATTTGATTTATTTTTATGTATATCGCTGATGCAAGGAATGAAATAATACAAGGTGACCATATTTTTTCCCATAAAATCTGAGACGGTTTAGAATGTGTGTGAGAGCGGGGAAAAGGGGGTGTGATGAGCTAAAATCTTATACTCACATTTTTTCTGTGCAAATTTTCTAGTTGAAATATATTTAAAAATATATTGGCAATCAAAACATTTTTAAAAATCCGGGACAAAACACCTAAAACCGGAACAAATATTGCTTTTAGATAAAGCCGGGATACAAGGCGAAAAATCGGGACTGTCCCGGCCAATCCGGGGTGTATGGTCATCTTAAATAATACAATATTTTATGTGACAGTTATATGATCTATACAAGTTTAAAAATCGTCATTTCCAAGTGAAAATAGGCCTTTCCGGGCATTGGTGCAAAAAATTGAATAATAAGTTATACCATATTAAATAAAATAAAATATTATCAGATAATTTTCTGTAGAGAAAAAATATTAGGTAAGAAATTATATATAAAACTTACGAAATTCTAAAAAACAGATCGGATATTTTTTATGTAACTTTAAAATTACTGATATCAAGACATTAGTTATTATATGTTTTGTTTAATTTTTATGCTTTCTGGATAGGCCGATGAAAGGGTAAGTTTATTTTCAATTGTGTGTTATTTCTTTATTAAGACTTTAATTTCACTTTGCGCGTGTAACTACTTACAAGTATATTTTTCAGAGTAAATGAAAATATTATCATAACTGCGTCAGAAACATCGCTTCCAGCTAGAAGTAGCATGACAACACATTCATTTCAAAGGCGTTCTCTTGAATCAGCTAGCGATCCTGGAACACCGTCAAAGTCTTGTTACGAAAAACACTACGGAACACAACAAAGAGATCGTTATACTTTTGATGTTGAAAATTTTCAAGAAACTCAAAACCAAATAGATACTTATTTTGCTAAACATGATTTATACAAGAACTCGAATTTCTCAGTAGATGTGAGCGATCCAGAAGCAATTGAAAATCTCAGAAGTCCAGATAAGAGGCAAGCCCATCTCTCTTGCTCTCAAGATGCAAGTGGAACAAGTTACCATAAAACTTCTTCGACGTATGAATTAGGAGCAAACCTTTTCTTTGAACCTAGAAAAGTTTTAGTAAATTCAGGCATGCAGATGTAATAGAGGAGCATGATCTCAGCTCGCCATACAACCATTATCGGTGTTTGAGCCCTAGTGATAGTAATCTTAGTCAACCAACAAATTCAAAATCATGCGATCATCGATTAAGGTTTCTAAAAAGACAATTTAGTTTAGATAGGAGTGAGGAGCCATGTTTAACCTCGACAAGCGATAATTTACAGGTCAGAGCACCTTTGCACAAACAAAATTCAGCCGGTGCTGCAAATGATTTGGAGAAAATAGAAGAATTACCATTAAAATCACCGAAAGTCAGCACTATACCAAAAAATGCTGTATCACTAAGTGTAGACGCTTTGGCGTTGCATTAAAAATTAGTATAACATGCATTTAAAAATGTTTTAACAAATATTTATTCATTATATAACGTTGCATTACATGGAATAATTGTGGGGACAGTTCAGACATTTTCTAACGTATCTCCTGTAAAATAAAATGGCGCAGTTAATGTTAAATTTAATTTGATTGATACTTTTGGGATACATCATAGATAAATGTTACAGACAATTAATATTTTTTTGTCAATTTTTATTTTTTCTGCTCTTTTATGCTTAAAAATCAATCAGCTATAGTTCACCTAATTTGTAAATAATTTTTATATAAAATAAGGTTGTTGTAATTTAATTAAATTTACAATTGGAATTAATAAATATAAGTCAGAGTGTAAATATTGCATAGAAAACATTTAAAATGTAGTTGGGATATATTAATAGCTAAATTTTTATCATGATAAATGTAAGTTTAGTAATAGCATGTAGCTTAAACATTCAGTAAGAAAGTAAGTTTCTCTATAGCAGGGTATTATTATGTAATATGTAGTTAAATAACTAAAAGTTATGGGATTTAGTTATTAGATCATTATTAAAGGTTTATCTATTTACTTACAAACATTAAATTGTATATAAAAGTTACATAAATAAACATTTTACTTTAAAGATGATAGGTGTCGATATTTTACAGCATATAAAAATTTTTTAAGTTAATGTTATATTTTACCATTAAGTAATTCAGAATGATTATCAATTTAGTCTAAAATTTGCTATATTATTCAGAATATTTCGTTTCCAATTTTTCATACATTGTTTTATATTTAAAACATATATTTTACGGCATTATGTACATGATGTTATTATAAAATATATAGAAATAGCAAACTCATTAGAAACAAAAATAATTCAGAATGGATTATTTCGTTTTGTAAACGACGTTTGAAATGAAAAAACCTATGTGTTATATATATATATATATATATATATATATATATATATGTATATATATATATATATATATATATATAATTTAAATCATGTACTTGTATAATTACCCCTTTAGTATATGTGAAATCAATCCCCTTATAGACAATCTCAAATGCATATTGTATTGATATAAATGTAAAAATCAACTAAAATAACTAAACATATGGATAGGAATAATTTTAACTATTATTATGTTGATGAACATACATATATTCGAAAACGCCGCACAACAAATACCTTTTATAAATCTTATATTAATAATTGAAGTTCATTTCATAATGTAGTTAATGTAGTTGTGATGATCTGCTATTTTTATGATAAGTTAATAAAAGCGTAAAAACTTTCTAAAATCTCAAATATTCGCGGATGTCTGTCATTCAGAGTTAGCATCAATGTGTGGAATAAATATCAAAGAAAACCCATAGTTTTATTTTATATGCATGATTATAAATAAATTAATACATTTAAAAACATGTAGTTTCACAAACATGCTTCTGTGTTCTTTTGTCTGTCACATTTTTAATGAAAATTTTTTTTTGAATAATTAAAATCGGACGCTTAGTTCTTTCATAAACTGCAATTTTTTACACATTTAGCTCTGTATCTTCGAAATGGCTGGACCTGCCTTTGCTAAAAACTAATCACCTCTTTTCCCAGTCATTACAAATTGAATGTTTTTTAGATCATTCAAATCGGATACTACATTCTCTCAAAAACTCAATTTGAATTTTCTGCACTCTTTGTACCGCATCTCCGTAACGGCTGGACCTGTCTTTGTCAAAAGCTAATCAGCACATCTCCCTATCAATAGGAATCGAATGTTTTATGAGCCATTCAAATCAATTGATCCGTGCGCCCGAAAACGTGGACAAACAAATGCGGACACAATTGAAAACTATTGTATTATTACAAAACATAATACGATTGTAATACCAAATTTAGTTTTAAATACCCGATTATTTAAAATTCATTAAGTTTCATTTCAAATTTCGCGCTATTAATT